ATATTCCAACAAACTTGTACCACACTATCGTTATTTGAGGGTCACACTATCCTAATGTATAAATAGACGACCCTTGCCTTGTCCAAACAATGCAAAAATTGTAATCCACAAAGTTGTGATATTCTTCTTCTCCAAAAAATACAAATTAGAGGAATAGGAGTCTCGATTATAATGAATTATCCTATCTCTTCAGCTTGATAAATCATTTATTTTTTTGTGTTATTGCCTACTGTTTCCCAATTCGCATACACTCATAGCTCACTCACAGAGCTCGTCTAGCTATCACAGTTCATACTTCTCAATTTCATACACCATGAAGAATAAAAAACTATTATTTAGATTGTACATTAAAATCCTTAAATATAATCTATATAATAAAACACATATTAGTCGTATAGACTATATTAGAGAATATAGGACAATTCTAGATAGATAGATAAAATTTAAAATTAAATAAGCGATAAAGATAATACTAATTCTAGTCAAGCGTTTGTTAAATACGGTATTAAGAGTTGGATAATAAATATCAAATCCAATGTAATATTTGATTAGAAAAATTATTCAACGGTATTAAATAAGTGAACTAAAATGCCCTAAATTATTTCCAATTCGATCATTTAGAGTGATCCAATATATCATAGGATTATATTAATAAAACCAAAAGCTATTTAAATATTACTTATTATGAATATTTTTAAATAATATTAGAATTAAACAAGCATGCTTTAATTGTGTAAAATTGTATTTTGAATATATGCATTTGTTTATTATTAATGTCATTGTTTATGTAATTTTTATTAAAATAAATAAGAAGGAATGATCATGGATTGGTATTAAAAAAGCTCAATAATATGAATAGATTGTATTAGAATTATTCAAACGTAATATTTATCTAATTAATCTCATACATAAAAATGAACGAACCTTGGAAGAGAACAGCCATGAGGTTGCCATCTCCAATACTGGTATTCTCTATCAGGCCTTCCATGTGCTTGACATGTTAGCTGTGGCTGTATGTAAGGGCAGTCCGATTCTTCATATAATGGACGAGTCAACTCGTCCCTCACCCACCTCCCACTGAACACATCGCACCCTCTCTCTGTCTCTCCAATGGCGAACGGCAACTTCTCCCCCCTCTTCTCTAACACCAAAAATAAAAAAACCCAACTCAGTCAATTGGATAAATGAATATATATAGTTATATACATATAGATATATATATGTATAGGAGACTACAAAACTTTGATGAGGTTGAAGGGTGTTGACTGTTGAAAAGGGAAGGAGAGAGACGAGCCTTTCTGATCAGGAAGTAGGAGGAAGGAGAGAAGTAGAAAACGAAGGCTTCATCTTTTGAAGAAGCCTCTAAGCTTTTTCGTCTGAGAAGTTAATGTGGGTGTTGTACTGTGTGGTGTGTGGTAGAATAGACACAGCATTTGGTCGGACAAGTCAATGATTTTGTTATGAATATATCTACGGGTGTTAAAGACTGTTGGAATATACATAGATACATACACACACACATATATATATTTATAGTACTTGTAAATATTAGCATAGGTGAAAAATTTAAAATTTAAAATTTATTTTTATTAAATAATGTTAAATCAATCATACTCCCACATATCCTTATTAATATCCTTATTTTTTTTTACACGTCTTATTTATTCTTATGATTTTAGGTCTTTAATTATAATAGTAACTCAAATACGTATATAGATTAATAACTAGAATTAGTATAAATTAAAATATGAATTAACTCTCTGACACATAATTTATTTATTTAATTCAATTACACATATAATATATAATTTTTATAAGTTTAACAAAAAAAAATTATTTATATATGTTCATGTGAAATGCATGTCATGTATTACTAACCAAATTTTTATAAAATCAATTATATCGTTATACTTTCATACATTTTTTTATAAGTAGACCATTCGCTCTACTTATCTTATAACTTTAGGTCTCTAATTAAAATAGTAACTTTAATATAATACATATAAAGATTAATAATTAAGTTTACTAAAAATTAAAATAAAAATTAATTTTTTGACACGTAACTTATTTATTCAATTCAATTACACATATAATCTATATCTTTTTTATATGTTTAACAAAAAAAATTATTTGTATTACTAACATAATTTTTATAAAAGCAAGTATATTCTTATACCTTCATATGTTTTTTATTTTTATAAGTAATTTAACTTTGGAATCTATAAACAGCTAAATAATGTTTTAAGTCCGTGAATGTCAAACCCCCCCCCCCCCCAAAAAAAAAGTTTTTTCGTTTAAATAAAAAAGATATTCTTTATAGAGAAAATGAATAAATAAACGAAGGGTCATACCATCAACTAGGAGGGTTTAGTGGTGATACTGGTCTTACTCTTCACACAAAGGTTGGGAGTTTGAATCCTAGAGTTCCTAAGACTCTATGATTAACCGCTATGCTACCCTAGTTAGGTTTAATCCCGAGAGATATTCTAAGAGCAAGAGTCTTATAATTCCATCGGTGAAGATCTAATGAGATGGTTATTAGATGTTATTTCGTGCCTCCACCCTTTTTTTTAACCAGCAAAAAAAAAATAAAACAAATGACCATTGATTGTGTGCAAACCCACCAAAGCACTGTCGGTGCTGCCATCCGATTCCGGATTAGCGCCATCATTTGTAACGTCAAAAACCGTAGCAGCAGCGTCTGCAAGGCCACGACGTGCGCCAAGGGATTCAGATGCACCATTGGCCCCGAATGAGAACAAAGCCGCCAGACCCAAAAGTAGAGCAACTTTGACCTCAAATCCTCTTGTGAGGCCCATGGTGGTCTTCAAACCTTGAACTACAGTTTTTGAGTTTTCCAATTTCAAAGAAAGAAAAGAAAAATGAAAAAGACTATGGCCTGGAACCGGAAAATGATCAGTTTCAACCTTTTTATAACATGTTTCGGTTACAACTTAATCTATCTTTAGTACAGGTCCACCTCAAAATTAGATTGTGATTTGTGAATCTAGATCTCTGTCCCTTGTATTTTTTATTTGGTTATTTTTTGTTAATTTTCCCGCAAATTTTGTAATTTTTTAGTTTCTTACATACAAACGTGAGAGGTTCAAGTCATTTTCAATTCAAGTTTTCTATTATTACCCGTTGTATGCTCCAAAGCCTCCAATAGAAGTTAGAAAATAAACAGAAATATTCTATTTTTTGTTTACGCCTCTTAATCTAAATTTGGATAATGCAAGCAACGATTGACTAAAAAATGAGACAAATGTATGGATTCAGATCATGTAGCGATGATAACGAGTTGTTTTTTGGCTCAAACTGAACACAAATACTTAAATCTTTGTTGAGAATAATTTGTCCCAATCTTTCTATATTAATCCATTACTTTTTCTAATTTAAACGACATGGGATTTGTTGGAGTAATTTTTTTTTTAAAACTTATTAATTAATTAATTAGTTTTTAGTTTTTAGGAAGAGGATGATTGAGCTTCTGGTAATATTTCATAGCTCCTGTCTTCACTCTAGTTTATCCCTCACCCACAAAAATGGAGCAGTAAGGATGACATACCTTCAACAACTTTTTAATAGAGATTATCCAGCGCGATTAATTAAACATGTCGTGTATCAAAGACGTAGAGTTGAGTGGAGAGAAATATTCCATCAAATAAAAAAAAATTCATTTTTTTCTTTGGTAGATTATGTATTATAAATTCAAGTGAGATTCATTGTTTGTCAATTGATACCCTGAACAAAATTATTTTCTACATACAGTCCACATAAATAAATAAATATAAATATCACTGTGTGTGTGTGTGTGTGTGTGTTGGGGGGGGGGGACTTTAATTTCCATTTTGCATTGAACAATTCAATCCTAAGATTTGTTTCCTCCTGCAGTCTCCCAAGGAAAAAGTCTCCAGAAATGACGCTTTCTGGCTACAATCTGATTAGTTTGAGCTATGGTGGTGACTAGGGATGGGCCAACCCATAGCCCGTCCCCCAAACACTGCCAGGGGCTGGGCCGATCATGCATCAATCCTTAGCCCGCCTAGAGGGCATGATGGGTTGTACAGTGGCCCATGCCCAATCCACCAGCAATGGGTGTTAGTCCAGGATCAGTCCGTCTAGACGATAAAAACGGGGTTTTTCATAAATTCACATTTTAAGTTGAAGTTTTCATCACTTCTTTGAAAAAGGGTGTGGTCGGCCTGGCTTGCACCATGGCCCTTGCCCATTCCAAGAGCAATGGCCAATGGGTTGAGTCTTGAGTGCCACGCTGAAACAAGGTTTGATAGTTGCTATATAACTATGGACAGCCACAATAGGGACACATAGGCCTGTCAAGTGTCTAACGGATCAGATTTGAATTAAATTTTAATTTATTTAAATTTGACTATGAAAGTTTGATTTGAATTTGATTCGACAGATTTATTTATTCTGCTTCATATCCGAATCAGTTAATAATCTGAAATCCTATCTAATTCAAATATCTCAATTTAACTGTTTTTTAACAAATTATATCTAAATTTTAACTAAATTTTCAAATAATTACTTTATTTATTTAATATTTATACAAAACTATATAAATATTTCAGATCGAATATAAATACATCTAAATTTGAATCCGTAAAATATAAGATTTTAAATTCAAGTTCAAATAATTGCTAAAAAAATATTAATTTATATTGGACTAATCAGATTTGAATTCGGATCAAAATTCAATTGACAGGCCTAGTGACACATGATTATTTCGGGTAAATAACCACATTGTAATTTATCTGGAATCACCCAAATGAATTATGTTACTGTTCGGGGAAAAAACATAATGCAAATTTTCTTGTATTATACACATCAATTTTCCTTCCCCCAAATGTCATGGCTTAAAATCAAAAACAACAAAACTTTTAAATTTGCTGCTCTGATGCTCCAACAATCCCCAGGCCATCTGAAAAGAACTAAAACTGTAGATTAGAACAGGCTTCAACATTCATGTACCATGAAAATCAAGGATAAAAAAGCTTGGCAAATAAAAGCTCATTCCAAGTATCCTGAAGCCCTGGCAAACACCAATGCACACAATCAGCATAGCTGACTGGGTTCGCGATCTGCTCGGGGTCAATGGACTCCACTGTTTCTTGTAGATTGCTGTGTGGGCATCCTTGCGATAGCTTGAGAGCTGTGTGATGTTGAGAAATGCAATGGGCACCTTTGTTTTGCTGAACTCTTCTCCAATCACCTGCATTATGCTTTTCCGAGTATCGGATCCCCAGTATGTGGGATCTTCTATCATTGTTGTCTGGTTGTAACAGTTTTCGCCTGGATTGCCACCCCAGTCTATGCTCCTGTCAAATATAAAATTCGTCGTTCATAATAAAGATTAATCCTCAATCCAATCAATGCCCTGCCAATCATCAAGTACATGGAAAAATGTCTGCATTGCCGAAGATATGACAAAGAAATAAAGTAGCCCTATGTTTGGATCTGACATTACCATACCATATTCAAAAGATACAACGGCCCGAGCGACCAGACTTAACATAAATGTTGCCACTGGAGCCATTCTAAAAAGGGAGAAATTATCACTACTTGGTGAAATAGGTTCTTTTAGAATCAATTTCAAACCATCAAAGCTTAGCTAAGTGTTTGTTTTTCTTACTCTTGAGTTCCCTAACCGCATGAAAATAGGAAATGATCATATCAGCATAAGTGACATCCAAGTAACGAGATCACGGTGAAATACGTCCTTTAGGACCTTTTGGGCTCTGAGTTCTCATTTATGCTATTGATGCATAAATGTTGAATTGAATGATTAATTTTCTCATTAATGTTACTGACGCACTCTTTATAAACCCTCAAATGACGAAGATCCCTTCAATCATTTTCTATGTTAACTGCCTCCAAAGTTGAATCTATAATGTTCACATTCATGTTTCTCTCTCTCATTTCATTTGTCTTATTGGCACGATTGAACTTTGAAAGTGTTTTTGCCAGGGTGAACTTGGGTGAATTGGGAGGTCAATCTGAGCTCCACCAAGTTACAGAAACCATAAAAAAAGTTTGAGCAGAGTGCCAACCATGTTACAGTTTTGATCTTAGATTGAAATTCAGGCTCAACCTACATTTACTAATTCTTGTTGGGTTCAATTCGAATCCCAAAAACATTTACACTCCAATTAGAGTACTGCACACCTATCGAAAATTTCTGCACCAGCACTACAAATTTTGGGTTGAGTTTGGATTTATATGTCAAAGTTACACTCCTAATTTTTGCACGTGAAAAGGAAAAGTTGCTAATTTTATTTTACCAATTTAGGTGCACTAAATTTTCCAGTGATGATCTATACATATGTGTGTATATATGTATGCACCAATGAGTACATATATGTAGTGGAAGGAAAACGAAAGAGAAACGAGGCTAAGACAGAGTACTCACTTTTGATGGGAAGGCGACATGCTAGTGAAGAAGACTCTTGTCTTCTTCCGATCCATATTCTTCTTTACCCATCTCAACATACTCTTCATTCCCATTCGATAAGCATCCTCCGTTGATACTTCCACAATGTCTTTCACTTCATCATGAAACGACCCTTGCCTGCACAAAGTAAACCATCAGACCTTCTCTGAGAAAATACAACAAACACCTAAAAGACAGATCAGACGACTTGAAGGAAGAGAGAGAGAGAAGTTACAAGATTTTAAACTTCACGCCTGTCATCCACCAAAGATAGGTATTGAACACCATAATGTCGACTCCTTTCCAATGGCGTCCATGCTTGTTAATAGACCCTTTACGAACTAGTCTGTCGGATATTCTATGCACGGCAGCATCATCGGAGTTGGATTCGAGAAGAAATGGTGCCCAGTAGAATTCGATCGTCGCATTATAATCCTAAGAACAAGAAACAAAGGTGGTTAAAGTTATCAAAACGTAAGTGTTTGATGAGTTTGAAAAAAAAAAAAAAAGAAAGAATGGTGATAGATTTTTCATGTGTACCTTGGCTGTGAAAACAGTGAGTGACCCATTAGTTTCCATGGATTTGGCATGTTCTGGGATGATTGAATGGAGAAGACAGACCATGGAGACATACTGGCCCCGATTCAGAGAGTCCCCTACGAACATCATCCTCTTCCCTCGGAGTGTTTCGAGCATTAATGTGGCATTGAAGCTGTAAAATTAGTAAGATGAGCTTCTTGCATATTCCAACCATTTATATATCCTTCCCACCCATTTTTTTTAAATTTTTTTTTTTTTTGGGGGAAAGTGGGTAAGGAGAAGGGCTTCAATAAGATAAAATCTTCACAAATTAAGGAATACTATTAGATCAAAAGATCGTTGGTAATGTTATTTTGTTTAGAATAATGTTATTTGAATCTAAAAATTTGACATAATTTACTGACCTATTGATCTGGTTTCATTGGAACTATTGAATTAATATCAAATTTTAATATTTGATAGAACTCACAATCAATCCAAAAGTCATACTAAATTAAGTCAATAAATTAGGTACTGAATTAGGTCAATAACTTAGGTTCCAATAGCATTGCTCTTCTGTTTACATTCACCCTAATAGAATTAAATTCACAACATTTATAAAGTATAATATTATTAACTAAATTTTGTGATCAAATTTGAAGTCCGAATGACATGGTAACATATTATTTAAAATCTTTATTAAGGCCGCCCAAATGATATGACATCAAATAAAGAAGTCCAACTCAGCTATCATGTCAATTGAACTCTAAATTTAATCATAAAATTTGGTTATCGTAACATTATTCATTGCAAAAATATTCCTAATAAATATAAAGTAAAAAATAGCATATAAGAATTGATAACACCAAGAATAAACCTATTCTATAAATATTCTATAAATAAGTCTACATCACAACAAGTGAACCGGTTGACCTCTACAGGGTAACAAGTGAACCGGCTGACCTGATATCAGTTTGGTTGACTTGGTTCACAAGGATCCAGATCACTTAAGGCTGAAATCAATTCTGGAACTGTCAAACGAGCTCGGTTTACCAAAAGGAGCTTATTCCCCGGTAGGAGAGAAAACCAAAGAAGAATTACACCATCAGAGATCTGGACATGAAGAATCCATCTCTAAAATATCACGATATCAACTTTAAAAATCTCACCTCATATTTAGGGAAAAGCGTTCAATATCCTAACAAAGTAGAGGATTACACTAACATTACTCGAGGGCTATTATATCCTAATGTATAAATAAGCAAATTGCTATCTTACCCAAACAATGCAATCCAAATAGTTAAAATCGTCTTCTTCTTCAAGAAATACAAATCAAAGGAGTAAGAGTCTACATTACAATGAACTAGCTTAACTCTTCAACTTGATAAATCATTTATTTTCTTATGGTCTTGCCTACTGTTAACCAGTTCACACACAGTCACAACTCACTAACTAACACACAAAGCTCGTCTAGCTCTCACAGTTCATTCTTTTTAATTTCATATACCATCAAGAATAAAAAACTATTATTTAAAATGTACATTAAAATACTAAAATACAACATATGTGAATGAAACAATCTTTCTAAAAAAATCAATTATATCTTCCTTCACAACCATCAATCTATTTTGTACTTAACCCAATAGATTATCCAACTATTTCTAAATATTTAGGGCGAGCAAAACTATATCATCTGTGTGGTGTCTTCTATCAAAAATATAATCGATAACATCTATATATCAATGAAAAATATAATAATGTCACTAATAATAAAGTTAAAATTATTATTGGACAACATCAATGTGTGTATGGGATGAGAGAGGAAGACAAAGTAAGTTTAATTATTAATGGGTGATTTAATCACTAATAAGGTGAGTATAAAATGAGGTAATCTTAGTAATTTGAAATAAGAGAGTTAAATGAGATAGTTTAGGTGCCCCCAACTCCACCCTCTCATCAATTTAAAACACAAGTACATTAAAAAAAGTAATTTAATACACATGGTAATAGGTGGAACAGTTGAGCTAAAATATACTTTTAGTCCCTAACGTCAAAAGAAGACTTGCCTCATGTGTGACAAAGAATCAGCCATTAGCCGGCGATTCATTAGTTCACATTTCATAGACAAAATTTGAAATATTACAATCATTTCTTACCATTGTTCCGGATTAAGCTTTTGTATGGTAGATTTTAAATTCCGGTAAAAAAAAAAAAAGAGTTGTATAAAGCAGCCGAGAGACTAGTCTAATACATATATCTATCTATCAAATATATGAGTAACTTTTAAATAATCAGGACAAGACTTCGTTAAATTTAGTTGAATCCGACAACCTTGGCAGTATATGGTTTATGTGATCTAGAGACAGACCAATATGACACATTGAAATAAACGGCTGGCTCTTATTGTTTATTTTGATGAAGAAAAAAATTGAACGAACCTTGGAAGAGAACAGCCATGAGGTTGCCATCTCCAATACTGGTATTCTCTATCAGGCCTTCCATGTGCTTGACATGTTAGCTGTGGCTGTATGTAAGGGCAGTCCGATTCATCATATAATGGACGAGTCAACTCGTCCCTCACCCACCTCCCACTGAACACATCGCACCCTCTATCTGTCTCTCCAATGGCGAACGGCAACTTCTCCCTCCTCTTCTCTAACACCAAAAATCAAAAAAACCCAACTCAGTGAATTGAATAAATGAATATATATAGTTCTATACATATAGATATATGTGTATAGGTGATTACAAAATTTTGATGAGGTCGTTGAAGGGTGTTGACTGTTGAGTTTTAGTCACCTGTTCTCGAGATGGGTCTGATTGGTCTGTCTTGATATGAGTCGAACAGACCAAAGATGCAGCCGAAGTCTTCGCCGTAAAGAACTATGACGAAGACGATGAAGGCTAATAAGGTGAAAAGGTAAGGAGAGAGACGAGCCTTTCTGATCAGGACGGAGGAGGAAGGAGAAGAAGAAAACGAAGGCTTCATCTGTTGAAGAAGCCTCAAGCTTTTTTTTGTTTTGTTTTTTGTTTGAGAAGTTAATGTGGGTGTTGTACTGTGTGTTGTGTGGTAGAATAAATACAGGATTCGTTCGGACAAGCCAATGATTTTAGTGTATGAATATGTCTAATGGGGTGTTAGAAAATTACATTTTATTCCCTTAAACTATTATCTTTATTTTATTTTGTACTCTCAATTATAAAATTTTTCATATATCAATTTTATTTCATATCACTCTAATAAATAATGACAAACTTAAAAATCTATCAAATGAGGGAGGGAAACATCAAAGAGTTTTCCATCAAGTGTCTAGTACCACTTTATTTTATCTTTTGCAATAAAATGGTCGGTGAGAAGAAAAAGAAAGTTAATCAGATGAAGAAAATTTAGAGTTTAAAAAGAACAAAGTCATGAATGAGTATTTTTTTTGTGTACATGTGCAACAGAAAGTTGTTTATTGACAGTACATACTATTCACACATGCGCGTTTACTGTCAAAGTCGTTATCAATTAGAGTGATATGGAATAAAATTGAAATTTTAGGATGCTATATGCGAAATTTTATAATTGAATGTACAAAGTTAAACAAAGGTAATGATTCAGGGGGATAAAGCGTAATTTACCCATATATACACATATTATATTCCAATTTCGTCGTGATGGAGTAGTGATCAGGAGAGGTTTTAAGAATCTTTCAGACGTGAACCCACATGCCAAAACAGCTAACTGATGTTTTAAGTCAATGAAATGCCACCATCCCCCGTCCTTCCTTTCATAAAAAGGATGACTTGAGTATAAGTGTGCGATATGCTTTCAACATTAACAACCACCCCTACCCACCCCCCCACCCCTTTCAGTTTCAAGTGTTTGGGATCTTAGTAGGACCCTCTGATATGATCAATATGCAGTGTAGACTCTTGAGCTGCATTGTAGAACAGGTAACCACTGTGACATGCCAAGACCAGAAGGCATCAACCATGCATCGATCGGATCCGACACGTTGATCACTACCTTCTGACTTGATGAAATGTCATGTTCAAAACCCGTAGTTGAGTGGCTGTTTAGTTGACCTTCCAATTTCCATCAAAACAAAAGGCTGTGACTTGTCTTTATAAACCTTGTCAAGAGATTGGATTTTACTTTGAATTCAATCCGAATTTGAATTTGACAATCAAATATGAATTGATTTTTAGAGATTATCCAAATTCGATCTCGATCCAATCTATTTATATATAGTTATACATATAAAATATGACAAACTTCAATAAGTTCATTCGATGGTCTCAAATAGACTCATCTGACGGTTACTAATATCTCTATAAAAAATATTCACATTAAATTTTACTTTTTTTTTTCACTCTTCACTCTCTCTACCTGGGATCTTCACTTCTCACTTTTTTGAATTAATTGGTTGATTTATGTTGTACCGTATCTTCACGCACGAATTACCTTTAATTATTCGATAAAATTGAATCAAAATTTGGATATTAATTATACCGGATAAAATTTTCTGACTTTTAACTGATTTGTGTATAACCTGAAAATAAAATTTTAAATTGAAATTTGATCAGACTAATTATTTATTAATTTTTTTCTCATTAGATTCAAATTCGACCTATTAACAACCTTACTTGTGACACTTTTTTCTTGTAATAAGTTTGATTTGCTTCTCTAAAAGAGGGCCTGATAAAAGTAGTGTGCAATCCATGATGGTGAGGGAAGCTATCATGTCGCGTGGCTTCTAAGGTAAGGGTTGTTTATGAAAGATGGCCAATCATTTTCACCACTTTTGTGTAAGGATTGTATCTTTGAAAAAGAAGGGTGAGTATGATGAATTTGGAGGGGGTTAGGTAGAGGATGATTGAGCTTATGGTAATATTTCAATGTCATGTAGTTGGCACAAGCTCATATCTCTGTCTTCCCTCTAAATTATGCCTCACCCACTAAAATGGAGCAGTTAGGAATCACATAAACTAATCGAAATTTAAAGGGTAGTTAAATTAAAGGGCTTTGAATCGTCAAATTGTATGAAAAATACATAAAATGACATTTAAATATTTATTTTTCGGGGTTTAAAGATTTTCTAGCACCGGCATAGACATCGTTCAGAACAAATGCCGGATTTTAGTGTTGCCGGCCATTTTTGGCCTTTTGCCGACATTTGCAATCGCCGACTTTTTAAAAATTTCTTGATTCTCCTTAGTTCTTGCAAATAGATTACAAGTACAGATTTATAGGAGCATATATACCGAGGAAATGAATGAAATATGATCAATTATCATATTATGGTTGTAAAATTTGTGTAATTGGACTAATCTTAAACTCAAACATCTCCAGTTCAAATCTTGATAACTTTTTTGGGTCAGGTCACGAGGAATTTATCCTCATGAATACTCTAGTTCTGACGTATATGACTTATCTTTAACCTAACTTAGGACGAGATTAGTTGAGATGCGCGTGAACTGGCTTGGACACTCTTAACCGTTAAATCAAAAGAAAAATGTATATTTTTAAAAAAAATTTATTAGTGGTAAGTCACTCGCTGTGAATTCAATCAGGAGACACTATACATTAATTGATTGATCACTCACCAATACAAAGTGTGGATAAACTAGGATGGACGGAGATTAAGGAAAAGTGTACTTCGAGAGAGCTGAAATCCTAAAAATACGATTGCCAAACAAGTATTTTTTAGATGAACTATATATTTTACGTCATGATTATCAAAATTTCTATCCGGATCGGGAAATCGTAGAGTATTGTATTGGTGAACAAAGGAAATATATTTTCTACTATCAACAAATGCATCCACCAAACTCCTTATTGTTTTTATTCCACTAAGGCTTTTTTTTTATACTTCTTTGTAGCATGATTACATACTTCACCTAACATATATATTATAAATCAAAGTTTTCTCTGTCCCTTAGAAAATACATGTTCCACTGACTTTGTATAAACGTTAATTTTATCAAAATAAACTATCATCAAGAGTAGACCATTCAACACGCATTACTTTGAGATTTCCTTTTCATTTCCCTAACTTTTCGTACCAACGTTAATTGTTGATTGGTTTGTTCATGAAGAATGCTCAAGTTTGGCTCGAAATCGTGTTGAGCTCGGCACGTTAGCTTTTTTCAAATATATGATTCAACTTAACTCATTTGACTGAACGAACCAAACTCGAGCTTATATTACAGCTTAAACTCGAGTTCATGTTCTGTTTTTAATATACTTATAAATGAGTTCAATTTGTTCAAGAGCCTATCAAATTGAACACCACATTGTACAAGCAAGCTCCAAAATTAAGATCGAGCTCAGTTCGTTTAATAGATCCGGAGCAGTTTACAAACTGTTTAAGAAGGGCCTGATTCATTTGCAGCCATAAGCACTTCTGCTATGCATTGGTTGTACAAGAGAGGGTCTTTGACTGGCCTTGCACAAAGGCTTTTATAGCCATGGTTCTTAGTGGAGCTAATGCTTACTTTCACCCCAGATGGGAAATGCCAATTCAGTCCATAGACAAAGGAATCGGATTACAGCCACGTTACATAAAAAGGATAACTCGATTACTACGAGATATAGAAAGGAATAGATGTATATAATCTTACCCCACATGCGAAGAAACTAACGCAATATACTGATAATTAAGTTTCAGAACTAATTCAAACCTGCAGACTCTTCACCCCTGAGATTTAAATCTGATTCTGATAGGAAGGAGGCCAGCATAATATACACCTGAATTAGGTTATCGCTACTGAACAGAGCATGTGGCCTCTGCAATCACGGGCAACTTATAAAGACATGATACGAAACAACACCACACACTTGACCATGCACTCAGAATCTGTAAAGAATGTTATCAATATCATAGTGTTGGGGGGGGGGGGGGAGGGGAATGTTTGGCAAGTATCATCATCTCAAGAGGGATTACAATCAATAGAATATGGTTGCAGGGAGAAATACCATCCATGGCATGGTGGTTTGCATCAAGGAAGTTGCTTTTTGTCTCAGGCAGAAAACTACAAAAAAAACTGCCACTATTCATGAACTAATCCGGAGGCACGAACTTGCAAAATGTCTACAACAGATTGAGATGACTGAAAATTCATTCACCAATGGCCTTTGAACTATGGCTGTGCTTGCTCAAAAGTTGACCGGAGAATAGGAGTTTCGGTAGCCTTGAGAAGGTCCTGTAAATCTCCGTACTAAAGACATACAAAAACTCTGCAAACATGAGGTAACAAATTACTAGTGCAATTCAGCAGTTTGCCAAATGCACATTTCCAGAATTTACAAACATAATACACACATTCAATGCCACATTACTAGTACTCCATGTTAGGGTTACGGCCTATTTACTTCATATCCTAGTCCAAGCAGTTAGTGTAACATTCTAGATTGAACTGAAAGCATAATATCTTTAAAAAAATGCCAGCCGCAGAAGACTGGGTCCAGGATCTGGTCATCTAAGCCTCGCTGCTTCTGTCAGCTCACATTAGGCTGTGCTTTGGATATTATTATATGGTTGTTGAAGCCCCTTATCACAATCACTTAGAGATACAACACGATCTGTCAAAAGCAGCACCTTACAGGTATAGCTTAAGGTTCTCATTGTCTTTTCAATAAATTTCATGTATGGCCTTCTGATGGAAATTCTAAATAATCCAGTAATAAATTTACACCAATTAGATCACCCATTAGTGAGAAGAAAGACCTTTCTAGTTAAGGTGGTCTACTTCAGGGACTATGCATTCCTGCACGCTTTGTTCTTTTTAATGAAACGTTGATATCACTTACAGTTAATAACTCTAGTCATATCCCAGCCTTCCCAGGTCCATTCCATGTCAGATGTCACCACAAATCTCAATTGGGAACCCCATAAGCCCTCTCCTAACATCAGGAATTCAAGTATTCTTATACAATGATAATCGACACAATGAACACCAAGGATTCTGGAGAAATTATAAGCAGTAAATATTCAGGTGCTAGCTAAGAAATTCCCAAAAATTCCTATACTTTATTCAGGCAGCCGAAGCAGATTCCTAATAATTGTGTGTTTCCTTTATCTAATGCAAAGAGACCCATTCAAGTTTAAGCTACTTCTGGCAGTATGCTTATGCCATAAAAATAAAGCACAAAAAAGGGAATGAATAATTAGACGTTGAAGGAATGCCTGTGATCCAGATTCAAGAAAAGGGGGCATACCTGTGTTCTATGAGGTAAGCTGGCCCAAAATTCCAAGTTTGGAATAATCTGAAAAAAGGAGCGAAAAATTTGAATGGTAAAAGTTAATATTTTTTTTATAAGAAACAAAGCTTTCATTTTATTAAAGGATTCAAATGAACAAAACTAGAGGATAAGAAATCCACCTAAAAGAGCCTACAAGCAAAATAGACAAACTATTGAATACAGGCAGCTTTCCAATTGTATTGAAGAACCAACAGAGAAATGTCTCTAAACTCATTAGCAACCATAATGCTAGCACAGGAACTTTACCCTATCCCATAACCATTCCTTTTATCGTAAAGCTAGCAGAGGAACCTAAGTAACTGTTCATTAAAATGAAACTTTATGGCCACATCGATACATGTATACATCACACCATGCTAATCTCTCCACATCATTCCACTTCTATTTCACGTAAGAAGATGGAGTACAAACCAACATATACATATATATATAATATATATACACCACAAATATTAAGCTAGACATGAAATCAAGATAATAAATCTAGCTTAGAAAGTTATGACAATATAGGAATGGAAAATCCACTGCTAGAACACCCAGAAAATCTTAAAATGGCACAGCAATGACCATAATGCTAGCCAAAAGCATAATGAAAGAAACATGTATGCCACCCACTTCACCCACCCAAAACAAACAAGAAAAAAAGGCTCCTGTCGGTTGGAAATTTTCTTTTGGGAGGCTGGGTGAGCGAGAAAGTTGGTGTTCTTCTCTTTTATCATATAAATATGTTCTACAATATCAAAGATTCAAAATCGAGGTGTATACAATACTCCACTATCCCAAGTGCCAATGAAAAGCAAAGTTCTGCTTGTAGAAACATCAGTTTAGGCATGTGCTGGAACCATGAATTAGCACCTCACCAAATATGATGTAGGCACTGAATTTGCACTTACCTTTGGAATATAACCAAGAAATCAGAGGCCTCAGCGCTGAAGAAATTACTTAGACCCACATACCAGATCAGATTAAAGAAGAATATGTGCGCTGAAGAAACACCCTTAGACCCACATACAGTAATATGTAAGCTTTGAACGAAAAATTAATTACTGAGCTCAGAATACCATGATCAGGTTACGTTACACAAGTAAGCCAAATGACATAAAACAAAGCGAACCATACGAATTCAACATAAATAGTCTTAATATAAGTGATGTAAACACAAAATTGGACAAGTTAAATTGAATTAGGAACATGTACTGAGGACAAATAAATTTTACTCCCCAGCTACCCGCAATGCAAAACAATAATTTGATATGTATGCACCAAAAAATTGAACTGCATACACATCAAGTGGAAATTTTTTGATACACCAAACCATAAGTAGACTGGAAGTCCATAATCATAAAACAAAAAATCATTTAAGAATGCGCGAGAAGACATACATCTATACCACGAATGCCAAGGAAGAAGGATCGATACACTGTACCAACCAGCAGATAACCTCCAAAGAGGCATAAGATTCTGGAACCAGAACAATCAGTGAGTACGGATGATTCTTCGAAAATCCAGACGATGCAACCAAATAGCATCAGGGCTGTAAACAAAACCTTACAGGGTTACGAATATAGTAAACCAGCCCCATCCTTTTCCATGAGCGGAATCAATCTTGGCACAACCAGCAGGATGCCTTATCAATGTAGCCTGTCAAAGGAAAAAGAATTATGAACTTGAAAACTGCAAATCATTCATCAGACAAGATATCCACTTTTCAATTGTCGACTAGGGAATTGATAAAAAAAAGTTCAAAAGCTTGGCAATTATAGCCGTTGTCATGATAATATCCTTTAAATAAGCAAAAGGGTGTACCCTGAGAACAGGAATGGCCCGTGGCAATTGGGTGCATCCCACCAGCATGTGGTTGTTGGTTTGATCTTCACTCCTCTCCCCCCCCCCAAACAAAAGGAAAAAGAAGAAGACACCCCAATGTAATTGAAGTTCTTACTCATAACCAAAAGAAGGTGTACCTTGAAACCTTATAACACAGACCCAAGTGCCATATTCTACTATATTGTCAAACCTCATTACAGACTATGGCAGGCATACAGGAATAATCTACTATATTTGTAATTGAAGTTGTAGTAGTTGTGATGTTGCAAGATTAGCAGTGTTTAGAGACTTCCACCATCAGTGTATGGAAATAATTTTAGCATCTAAGAGAGAAATGCTCAATGACTATGCAATGTGCCGGGCGCTTATTAGCCCCAAACACCCATTGATAAATAGGAACAAATCACAGTTTCACATGATATCAGACACCTACTTAAGTACATTCCTATTTACTGGCGAACTCAAAGAACTCACATAATCACATCTGCCAAATTGTACCAGTGTCTGAGGTACCTGAAAAGGTTGAATATGAAAAAAAAATTGTGTGACATAAATGAGTAAGAACTAAATATGGTTGAAACAACCACAAAAGTTCATTGACAGAGGGTAACCAAGAAGATCTCACTTGAACTCCATTTGAATCACAGAAAACAGACACAGAGAGTGAACAGTTTTGCTTCAGGCCAATATTTGACATGTTAACAATGACACCAATCTGGGGATTCTTTTTGTCTGTCATATCCACGAAACAACAAATTTATCATATAGCAACAATATTAAATAACATTGTCACATGTAGTTTCCAGACAGATTTAGAAGTGAAAAGTGACTACTTAGAATGCAGCATCATAACGGAAATACTCCAACATGATGCTAAGCTCCCATAACCAAGCCACATCAATTATATCTACCCATGAAATGCTGCTAAGCAGTAGGAAAGCCAGCCCGGTGGGATAATCGATGATGGTCTTTTCTTACAAAATTTGAATAGACATAAAAAGAATTGAGGGGAAAATATCTTACCAAGCAGATTAATAATCGTGGTTGAGGATTGCCCAATAGTAGTACATACATGATAACCTGCGTATACCACAAAAAAATCCATTGGCATCAACAGAATGAAGGTTCCAATTTTAACCAACTGCACTCAATGAGAGGTCCTTGGTAGGCTCAGCACCTCTGTATTTAACCTACTGCACAAATGTTCATCTTTCATTGAGGTCCAGCATAGGAATTTTTTTCTTGTTAAAGGAAAGCATCACAGCAAGAAAGACTTCTCATATAAACGAGGGAAAAGAAGCATACATCCCTCTCATAGTGTCAACCAACAAAAATGTCTCTTGCATTTGTGCATTCAACCTAAGGAAATAGAACTCGAGAGAGAGATTAAGAAAAAGGAGAAGAAACACAATCACAGCAATTCATGACATTATTTTGATCTAGTGACACAGGAAATGTCCTCATAAAATCCTCCTGGAACCTAGTGACACAGCCCAGACTTCCAGTATCCAATAATGAAACTGAGTGTCCATCAACTCGGTTGAGTCGGAACCCTCCTTATGCATTGTTTCTTACCGGTTTTTGACGTCACTGTTTATACTATCCACTGGATCCCAAAAAGAAGACCAGGCTTGATTTTCTGCTAACAAAAACCTTTGTCATCCAAATCCATTGGAACAGTGAACCAAGACATGCACCTAAATTCATATAGATGCAACAAAACTTTGGATGATTTTGGTAGCAAAGACCCTCTGCATTTCCAATCATTTGCTTGCAAATTGTTATATGTACTCTGATCCTGAATGTACAATACTCAACATTCTTAGCACCCATATAAGTGCAAGCAGATAGCATTCGATGCCCATGTTGACAACAACGGATATGCTGTGATTGGTGAAAGTTATCCACAGTTCACAATCCCTTCAAATGATCTATTTGGAATTTTAGCTTACATATTCCATTCATGACAATGAAAGTAATAAAAATGTTCCAGCAGTTAATATAATTTTTGGTTCTCAATGCATTAACATTACACACAGTATAATGAACTCCTCTTCGTTGAAAGCATAAATATAAAGGCACTTTGTATTGCAAACTAAGCACTTTGTATTGCAAACTAAACACTTTTCAACATATGTTAGAAGAAACTACCACATTCAAGAAAACTAGAAAAGCACTGTCAGATAACAATTCAATCACTAATGCTCCAATTATGCTATTGCTATATACCGAACATTGTTTGAGGCTGGTTAATAATTATAAAACAATAGGGGCTATAAATACTTTGTACATATCTAAGTGTGACAACCAAGCAAGTACGGAGTACTTATATAGCATGCCGAAATAGCATCTAACCATCTCCAGAACCCCCAATGGGGAGAGCCTCATGCACTGGGGCGCCTTTTTAAATAGCAATAGCATAACCATGATATGAAATGTACAAAATTGTCAAGACAGATTACCTTCTATGTTTTCAGAGACAAGTGCACTACAACCCATGCCACAATGTGTTGAACCACCACAGCCCTGCAATATGAAACAGCCGTTCAAATCAGCAAGACATGTATTAGAATCAGCAGGTGATACTATTAACTTTCCTTCAAATAGCAGATCATATAGATTAGGAGAATAAGGAAAGACCCCTAACACTGTGCCATCCAATTGATACGCAACAATGTCAGTAAAAAAATGAAAACCTCTCTTTAATTGCAAAATTGTTCAACAAATAATCCACTGAAATGCACCCAATCCCAGCATCCTTGGTTCATAGAGACCAAATGAGGTAGGATCGTTCTATAATTATTTATGCAGCATTCAAAATTTAAACCTAATCACTACATTTAAAAGTACTTAAACAGTTATCAACTCCTTGAGTAGCATACTGGAACTGAATATTTTTATTTTATTTTAGTGACTGTACTTTCTTATTCTGATGGTGTAATTTATGTCAAGAACCTATTCCCCCAACCCACCCACATCATTTGTCCTTTGAAGACAAAAAGGAAAACAAATCATTATTCCAGAGAGTTCCTCATAATATATGGGATAAAACAAAAATCCATTGACAATGTAATAACTAATAATGGTACAAAAGGCAAAATAAGAGGTGTAACCATAACATTTCTTATCTTCTGCATAAAGAAATCAACCAATGAAACTTAAAAAGCACTCACCCTGCAGTCAACACATATAGGTGGATCATGGTTGAAAATCATTGCATCACAAAGCTGCTCCATACAGACAAAGGATATAACAAATCAACCAAAAGTAACATGGGTGCTAAGTCCATTATTCAAATAAAAAATTGAAGACAATGCTCCAACAGAACTCTAAAAAAAATTGTAGTACAGATACCTAGACCTTGGTAGATGCAATAAAGCTTTTCAGCAAATAGGAAAACTCGCGTGCAAAATTCAAACAAATACAGAGTAACCTGAAAGAGCCAACCTGAAATCTGAGCACAGTCTCATTAACCGCCACCTTGTAAAACCTGAATGAAAATAGTAGTTAACAATAATACACCAGTTAGAACCATACCAACCGGCATTCACCACTAATAAACAAAGTCATAATACGACAAAATCGATTTCTCAACCATCAAATAAAAAAATGCCCATAAATTGAGAGGGAGAGAGAGTACCCATCTTCGCTGAGGATGCCATGGGGGAATTTAGGAATTGAGGATGCTAAGCTGTAGTTGTAGAGCTTGTTGTGGTCACTGATACTGAGTTCGCATACCGCAGACACCGAGTTCAAGCTGACTCGGTGAAGAATAGTGAATGTGAATAGAAGAAGAAGAAGATGATGGAAGCAGCGTTTACGCCAATCGAAACCACCAATTGACATTTCTTTTCCAATGATTTCATAACCAGTCTTATAATATTGCAGAGAAAGTACTCTCAATCATTGAAAACACCATCGTCCGAAGAATTTGTTTGGGGAACGTCTTCGTGGGGGGCAACGAAATGACCGACAATGAGGCGACTTTTGGCATTTTCTACCGATTACCATTTACCGGATGAATTTCCCGAAAAACGACGTTGTTTTGGTGGTTTTCTAAAATTACTCATGATCCCCCTGTACTTATTGATACTCATATATTACTCCCCTCAACTCATATATGTGACATTGAACATCCTTCAATTTGTGATAGGTTAATTATACTATACGTTCAAAAAGTATTAGGTTTATCTTATTTTAATCACTAATATTTTAATTATATTATTTTAATTCTTAAAATATTAAATATATTTTTATGTGATCCCTCAAATAAATAATATTTAAATTGTTAATAATTTTTTATTATAGTTTATCACGTAATACCTAAATATGAGTAAAAAAATAATTTGAATAACAAAATCATCACGTGCAACTCACGTGGCTGTCAATTTGATGAAAATAGCAACGGAAGTTATGAATGGGGTTAAATTACTAACAATTAATTTTATTAAGGGTGTAATTTAAAATAATTAATCTTTATGGGTATTAATTGAAAGTTTTTTAATCCCTTACGGTTTAAACTATAGTTTCCCATAAGAAAAAATTATACTCAGATCCCTCAAAATTTGTCACTTAATCATTAAAACTCTTGATATTTAAAATATTATATACAAATCTCTAAGATTTGCTTGCGCATAACACTGATGTAAATATATAATTTGATAAATTATACTTAAACCTCTTAAAGTTTGTAAGCATATAATACTTAGATTTTTTGAGTTTAAAATATTATAATTAGATCAAAAATACTTCAATCAAATATAAAATATTTTAAAATTTTCAACAAAAATTCATAGTCTATTGTATTTATTGACATAAAATTAAAATTAAAAATTTATTTAAAAAAAAAAATCGTAATTAGTATACAATTATATTATCTATTGGAATAAAACAAAAAAATCAAACAAGGGTCCTAAGTCATTCATAATAGAACATGAATTTTACATCTTAAATTCATGTTTTATTATTTCATTTATTTAAATAAAATCAAAAATAAAATTTAGTTTTAAAAAAAAAAATCATAGTTAGTATATAATTATACTATCTATTAGAATAAAACTAAAAAATTAAACAAATAGTTAAACTGTAATGGATACAATATCTTTTAACTTTAATTCAGATAATTTGGTATTTAATTTGGTTGTTTAAACGATCAAATTAAATTCTAAAATATAATATAATTGTAAAATAATTATAATTTTTTAAGAAAAAAGTTGAATTTTTATTTTTGATTTTATTTCAATAAATGATACAATAGAATATAAATTTTGGTTGTAAAATTTAAAATATTTGATATTTTATCTTTGATTGTAGTATTTTTGATCTAAATATAATATTTTAAACTTAAGGAATTAAAGTATTATATATTTATAAATTTTAGAGGGTTTAAGTATAATTTATTAAATAATATATTTACACGAAAGTTTAAGTGTTGCGTGTACAAATTTTAGGGATTTGTATGTAATATTCAAATATTAGGGGTGACAAATCTAAATGATCTTGGTGTAATTTTTCCTAAAAAAAATTTAAAGGCGCACACACAAAAAGGGAAAACCAGACGGCGGTGCTGTAAACCCTACCGATCATGGCGTCGATCGAGGCTTCTAATCCCAACAGAGCCCTAACTGACACTCGATTCTCCGACCTCAAACCACCTCTCTCCGAACCAGTCCTCGAAGCCCTAACCCAATCCGGGTTCGAGTTCTGCACGCCGGTTCAGGCCGCCACTATCCCCTTACTGTGCAGCTACAAGGACGTCGCCGTCGATGCCGCCACCGGCTCCGGTAAAACTCTAGCCTTCGTGGTCCCTCTCGTCGAAATCCTCCGCCGCTTCACTTCTCCGAAGCCTCACCAGGTACTTTCCCTCGAAACATGTTGTCAATCCATACAGTATATGTTCTTTTAGCTTGATTTTGCGTTGTGGTACAGGTTATGGGGATAGTTGTATCTCCAACAAGAGAGTTGTCATCGCAAATATTCCATGTAGCCGAGCCTTTCATTTCAACATTAGCCAATGTTAAGCCGATGCTTCTTGTTGGGGGAACAGAAGTGAAAGCAGACATGAGAAAGATAGAGGAGGAAGGAGCGAATTTATTGATTGGAACGCCTGGGAGGCTATATGACATAATGGAACGCATGGACATCTTGGATTTTCGGAATTTGGAGGTATTTTATCAATTCGTTTTTTCACTAAACCCATTTGAATCTATTCCTGTGAAAACACATATTTCGAGCACAATGACTGATCATTCCTCTAATATCCTTTTATTTATGTCGAATTTTGGACGGTTGTGGTCAAAAACCAAGATAGTACAATGGAGGAATTGGATTTAAAGCATATTTGTGGCTTGCCTTTGAGAAATCGACAGTTAATATGTTGATATGTTATATTTCAAAAGGAAACTTAATGTGGCTGGTTCTACAGATTTTGATTTTGGATGAAGCTGATAGGCTATTGGACATGGGATTCCAGAAGCAGATAACCTCCGTTATATCATGCTTGCCAAAGCTGCGTAGGACTGGTCTCTTTTCAGCTACTCAAACTGAAGCAGTTGAAGAGCTATCCAAGGCAGGTTTGAGGAATCCTGTGAGGGTTGAAGTTCGATCAGAAACTAAATCACTCAATGATTCGTCATCATCACAGCAATCAGCCTCATCAAAAACGCCTTCAAGTCTCCATATTGAGGTATTCATCATGCATTATATAAATTGGTTCAACCTACAATAGTTCATTTGATTTTTCTGAATTGATTATCAGAAATTTTCTGAAGTTTATTTTGCCTAACTGATGTATAGTCTGTGGCAGTAACCTTATCTTTTTGTCTATAATTGTTTCATTTTGCAGTATCTGGAATGCGAAGCTGATAGAAAACCAGCTCAGCTTGTCGATCTCCTAATTAAGAACAAGACCCAAAAAATTATAATGTGAGTTGAACGTGTATAGTTCAAATAAAGAAATAAGAATTCAAAGGAGTCAAGCTTGTATATTTTTCCACAAAGAAAGGGACTTGATGACTATGGACAGAATTAGTTGGATTATCACTTTTTTGCCCTGTCCTTACTTTTCAGTTATTTCATGACCTGTGCTTGTGTTGATTACTGGGGAGTTGTTCTTCCGCATCTTGCTGCCCTGAAGGGTCTCTCAATAATTTCTCTTCATGGGAAAATGAAGCAGGTAAATTTACCAGAGATTGTCATACATGGTCTATGTCTAATATTTAATTATGTTACATAGGTTCCACTGGTGTGCAGTCTGACTCTTTCACATTTTTCTGCTAGACTGCAAGGGAGAAAGCGCTAGCATTATTCACATCTCTTTCAAGTGGCATCCTTCTGTGTACTGATGTTGCAGCACGTGGACTTGACATTCCGGGTGTGGATTGTATAGTGCAGGTAGCTTAGTCACCTACATTTATCAATAACCCAAGTTCTGCATGACTTTTTAATTCTGTGATGAACAACTGTGTTATAACACATTGCTTTATATTTAGGGAAGTAGTCACATCTTTCATGCTAGACTAGAAGATGTTTTGCCTGTTGCCATCTATCTTTTATATGAAAGAATTGAATTGTGTGGGATAGGGCTTGGGAAGCCTTCCCTCCACTGATGCTTTTTCTCTCTTTTTTGATTTTTTTTTATCAAACTCTCCACCAATCAATTCTTTCCACATTTCAATACATCTACTTCTCCAACTTCCCATTCCCCTTCTGTTTCCCACTCCTTATTTCTTTTTAGTTGGTCATATTCATTTTTTCTTCTCTCTCTACAATTACTAAATTAATTAAACAGTCTGGTAGCAGGACCAGTTGGAAATACTGAGGTGGAGTTGGAATATAAATTCGTACATTATACAGGCTCACTGCTAGCTTTTCTAATGGAGCAATCCATGGGTTCAAAATTGCTGACAAGAGCTCAATTAGTAAAAGGGGGGACAAGTTGCTTGCTTGAGGACACATGTTAAAGTAGAGCAGATAGTTATGAGTAAGTTGGAGAAATTGCTATAAGAATGGAGCATTTTAGGGTTAAATTCTGAAGGAATGAAATTAGTGAAGGCGCATTTCTTCTCAAGACGAAAATGGTTATGCATTCCCTTTTATAGAAAATTTTGTTGCTGTTTATTTTGTGAAAACATTGTTTACGAAGGAGAGAGAAACTAAAAAATGAAAGCCAAATAAAAAGGGGAAAGAACAGGCATACACCTTGAGGAGTCAGCAAAGAGTAGGACTTAATTTAGAACCAGACTTTTAAAAGCATTAAAATACGCACAAAAGTAACTGTTGTGCCAAACAGAACAGTGTTATTCAAAAACCTTAAATCTTTGATCTAATATCCTATACGTACTTCAAACTTTAGAAACCCAATGTAAGGGGTCAGACTTACCAAAGTTGTTGAGTTTTTTCTTTGTTGCTTATGCAGTTTGACCCCCCTCAGGATCCAAACGTTTTCATTCACAGGGTAGGCCGGACTGCTAGGATGGGACGGCAAGGAAGTGCCATTGTTTTCCTGTTACCGAAGGTTTGGTTCTTTAATAACCTATCTACAACTCAGTTGCGGTGCTGTATACTCATCATATGTGCACATGTAGGAGGAAGCATATGTGGAGTTCCTGCGAATAAGAAGGGTACCACTTGAGGAGCGAAAATGTTCTGATGAGGCTCCTGATATTGTTCCTCAGGTGAACATTATCTTTCCCGTTGGAAAGTATTTTTTGCATCCGAAAGTTCTAAAGTTCTGTCCCTTTCTAGGGAAATGATTTCATATTCTTTGGTTGCTTTATTTGATTAGGCTTTCTCCCCTTTAATGGTTACTGTTTAATTGGTTTTTTTTTCCTTTTGTGTTGTAATTTTTCTTGTTCTTTTTTTTTTTGGCTGGGGGGGGGGATGAGGGGAGATGTATATCGGGTGATTATTACAACTGCTACAGTCGATATTTTAATGAGTTCATTCTTCCCTTTGCACTATGCATTCATTTTTAGAGTGGAAAATGTTCAGGTGTGTGGGTGGGTTGGGGGAGGTGTTTATTGGATGATTATTAAAGCTCCTACAATGGATATTTTAATGAGTTCATTCTTATAGTGGAAGATGTTCGGGTGGTTCCCCTCAGGGCCCTTTTCTCTGTTTTTGAGGTGTGGTGGTTCCATTATTCAAGGTCACGGTAACGGCCAAAGACTCAAATGGCATTGAGATCCATTGGTCGGGGTGCTGCGGACTGATATTGTATGCTAGAAAGTATTTGTTGGACATGTCAAGAGATTCAGGCTATACCGCAGCGTCTGGGAACAATATCGAATTGTCTGCTGCAATTCGAAAACTCGGCCGAGTCAATCAAAACATCTCCAAGGCAATCACAAGTTGAGCGAGACTCTTGATTTACACGGAATTTACATCGTTATCGGAACAAAAAGTCTCAAGTACTTGGCCAATTCTTTGAACACTTGGTGGTTGGAGGAAGGCGAAGTATAAAAAGAAAACCATAGCACAATTATTAAAGTAGTCCTGATTTTGCTTTTCTTCCTAGTAGAGGCTAATATGGTCTGCAATCAGATTGCCGTTATAGTAATCAACTGTCTGCACTACACAACTAAGTGAACAAGAACCAGCAGCACATTGATCATATACCTTAATGACTTTGTTTAATCTGTAAGAGCTAGGTTCAATTTTCTCATGCTTGACTATTCCCATGTTTACTTCCTATCAGTTTGCTTTTTATTCTCGGTATCGAAGTGGAAGCTTTACTCATTCTTTGCAACTATTTGTTACCTCCTTGTTTTCAAATTATTTAGTCAATCATAATCCAATTTTCACTTTGAGAATTTGCCTAACATCATATCAAAATCAGTGATTTGTATCTGTTTTCAGATACGGTCTGCTGCAAAAAAGGATCGTGATGTTATGGAAAAAGGACTCAGAGCATTTGTCTCATACATTCGTGCTTATAAAGAGCATCACTGCTCATACATTTTCAGGTCATTGCAGGGCTTTTTGCCATTCCTCACTGAATGTTGTTCTGTGGGGTCCATGTTGTACTAACTGTAATTTTTTGTTTCCAGGTGGAAAGAGCTTGAGATTGGGAAGTTGGGCATGGGATATGGCTTATTGCAGCTCCCTTCAATGCCCGAGGTAAAACACCATTCACTTTCGACCGAGGGTTTTACTTCAGTAGAAGATATCAATCTGGAGGAAATCAAGTACAAGTAAGGATTCTTCAATGCTGTACTGTGCCTTATTTGAGTTTACAGAGGCTAGCCATTCATGGCAGTCAATCTGGAATCTGTTATAGGGTTTGAGACCTTTCAAGTGACTGGGCATGTGACGGTAAAATCTCCTAAGATTTCACTTTCTGAGGGTTTGAGGTTCTCAATGAAAATCCATTGTATTGTAATCATCTTATTAAAAAAGAAAACAAAATTGTTGCTCTAGTTTTTTTGCCCCTAAAACATGTTCTGTTTCCTATAGTTAGCTAAGATTGCATGAGTTTTGGGACTATGTTTGCATAGTTTTTTGACTATTAAAATCAACTCAAATGGAATTTCTCTAGTCACTAAAAAAGAGTAACTATATTGTGTGGTACAGCATCTGACACTTCGTTTTAAACACAACTACACAAGTAATGAGGCTTCTGTTTTTGTGCGTACATACATTACCAAGAAACACATGATGTTGATAAAATTCAATATCCTCTTGTTCATTTGTATTTTTGGCTCATCACCCAAACATTTTACCCTCTAGGGATAAATCTCGGGAAAAACAACGAAAGAAGAACTTGCAAGCAAAGAAAGCTCTACAACAGGCACAACCAAAACCTCAGAAGTCTAAAGCGACCCTAAATGCCGCTAATAATGTCATGAGGAAGAAAACAGCCAAGCAGAGACGTGCTGTTCAATCGGTTGAAGATGAAGATGAGATGGCACGGGAATACCGCCTACTGAAAAAGCTGAAAAAGGGTGCAATTGATGAAAGTGAATTTGCAAAATTAACAGGAACTGAAGACTTGCTTTGAAATATAACTTGATCTTGGACATCAAGCAGTAGGGAAATTTAAGCGGGGCTGAAGAGAACAGGTCAGGTGGCAAGACCATTGAAAAGCGAATTTGCAAAATTAACAGGAACTGAAGACTTGCTTTGAAATATAGTGTGATCTTGGACATCAAGCAGTAGGGGAATTTAAACGGGGCTGAAGAGAACAGGTCACGTGGCAAGACAACGGATGTATAAACCTCTAATGAGCCCCTGTTGTGACATCTGCTGAAGTTTCCAGATATCTTGTTGACAAGAAAATTGTTGCCAGAGAGAGAAATATCCTTCCTCTGATCAATTTTGTTCTGCGGCCTAGATCAAAGATGATATTTGATGCTGAACTGGTTTGCTTCCCAAATTTGTATTTTTTTTTCTAATTTTTTGAGTAGAACAGTTATGAAACTTTTCATAACTTATCAATAGCTTTGTAATTTCCCCATAACATAATTTTTGAGCTTTGAAAGATGAAATTGAAAGTTTGTAACCTGTTTATGCTTACCATTTTGTCCTATTGTGCCTACTTTATATATTTGTATGTGTTGAATTTTGAATGTAGAGTACAAGTTGGATGTATTATCAGAGGAGAGGAACCTTTTTTGGTGGGATCAGCATATAAGAGGAAGATGACGCATAAAATGGCCTGTGCTCAGGAAAAAATCAATGCCAGTTTTGGCATCCATTTTTCGATCTGTTCTTTTGCTTTTGTTTTAAAGAATTTGGTTGTGATCTTCATCATTTACACCTAAACTTTTGGTGGTATCCCGACTTTAAGTCTACCTTAGTGAATTAACAGGGTAGAACACCATATAAACTTCACTGATGTTATCATAAACCTTGATTTTGCTATGCTCAATAAAAACCCGAAATAGTAGAAATTGATTCATGTACTGGTCAATCATCTTTGTCCAAGTGTGAATTGCAGATGGCTCTCCAATAGTTTCGTTCCTTCTTACTGTACTTCTACTTTTGGGTTAACCCTTTGAAGCCGACATGCTCCAAAAGGTGCATATGTTTCTCCCTCAATCATGTGATTTCTTATGTATGGATTAGCCGTATCTCATCTTGCAACATAAAATTTGAGCACTTAAAAATTTGATTCCACTATATTGTGTAGTAATTTTTTTTTTTTTTTTTTCATTTCTTTCGTTACATAATCAAAAAATTCTCAAAATATATAATCTCAAAAAATATCAACATGTATATACTATTGTATATAAATAATGTTTAAAATAAAAATTACATTGAATCACAAATTAATCAAAAATTAAATAATTCAATTTGTTATAGAAGTCCTGTTAAGTAAAAACAACTTGTGATAAAAATAGGTAAAATCATAGAGACGAACAGAAAAAAAATATGTAGGGATAAAATTCAAAGTACTAGTTAGATTGCATTTTTTTTTAATTTATTTCTTTTTTTTGTTTGTTTGTAATTAGTTTCATGTGACAACCTTAATGTTAAAAAACCAGATTTCTGAACTTGAACCCGTAACATATTTATTTGGATGGATAATTGCTTATCATTCTAGATCCAGCCTCTATTTGACAAGATCTAAATTGCAAAACATAATATCAAGTCAAAATCTTTGGGGAATAAAAAAATAAAAAATAGGAGAATGGTTCATTCTCAATCTTTCAACTCATCCAATTAATTACATCTTATATAACACTTAATTTTTTTTTTCCCCTTTGATATGGGAAATCAAGGTACAACACTAAGCAAAAGCAAGATTACAAACTTCAAAGAAAAGCAACCTAAGATCAATCACATCTACTACTTACATTGTCATTTTTTATTTTTTTATTTGTGTTGAGGCTACATGCCCTTAATGTCTTTATTAGTTTAATCCCTTGAAATTTTTAAGGGTGCTTCAATAGTTGAGTCTAACATCTGGTAATTGAGAGATCTCATATTTAATACTTTTCATATTCTCTAAAGGTCAATCATTTTTGTTCTTCAAGAGATACTCTGTAAATTTACTCGGACTACGGTGACTAATATCTGAATTTAAAAAAGTAGTTGAAGTAAATTTGATCGGTAAATAAAAAAAAAAGTTTAATCTCTTGAAGAAGAGAATGGAAGGATACAAAAGAAGCATAAAGTGAAAAAGAGGGAATGAGATTTGAAAACCAAACAAGAAGGAAGCTTCATTTGGAAGCATTTGTCCTCGAGCCCTCAAAAGAGAAAAGTGGGTGGTGGTTCCACATATATCTTCCTTGTCTTCAAAAGGAGGAATCAAAAATCGAGGTTGATTAACTAAAAGAAAGCAGCCTTTTTTGTCTTTTTATGTAGTTTTCTACTTTGATTTTATCTCCTACTACAATTATTTTCAACTCAATTTGACTCTTTCTCTTACATATTCATCTACTGCTACAATGGTGAATGTTGCATGTACTCAGATCTAATTGAGTAGTAACATTTCTAGTTTGTTTTTGTCTAGCTAGAGGGTGAAAGGCTCGCCTTCCTTCATTGGTTATGAGTTAGAATTCACTTGTAGTAATAGTTCTGTGAACCAAAAGATATTGTCGAAGGAACTAAACGTTCAGCTTGTACTTAGTAGTGTTGTAGTAACATGCTTGACCATTTTTGATTAATAACTATAACTCAAATCAAATATTCTATATCAATCGGAAACCTCAAGATAGCGTACTTGGAGTTGCTCCTAACTATACTTTTTCCTAGCAAAAAAAAAAGAATAATTTTTATGGAGATCCAACGAATCTAGCATGAATTCAAAAATTTATGACTATTTAACAGAAATAATTGATGGGTTTGATTAATACCAAACATGAATAATTCGATTTTGATATAACTAATTCTTTTAACTAATCAAATGTTATAGGGATTGTGATAAATTAAATAAATTTTTATTTGATTTTACTAGGATGTAGAACAAGCAGATTTTATTTAGAGTTAATAGCGCTTTTTGGTCTCTAAAATATGTATTTTTTTATCACTTTAGCTTTAATGTATCAATTTTGTCGATTTGGTTCTTAAAGTATTCAATTTGTGTCATTTTGGTCCCTACGTAGACAGACCGATCACATGATACTGTCTAAAAAAATGACTCATAACTTTTTTGTCAAAATACTTAATGGTCCGTTTACGTGGGGACTAAACTGATACAAATTGAATATTTTAAGGAGTAAATTGACAAAATTGATACATTTAATATTAAACCGACAAAAAATATATATTTTAATGATTAAAAATACTATTAACCTTTTTTTTTTATTTACAGTGACCTATGTTTTTATAGGTTTGGAGAGAGAATAGAGTATTATTACCAGGATTTTGATTCAAGGGTTGCATTTGTATAGTTCAATCCAAACTATCAACAACGGATACAAACATGACATGACTCTAACATTGACCCGAAGACACTCTTCCTAAATACATCTTTGTAATTTAATTATTTTCTTAAACGCCACCATTTGGATATGACACAGATACAAAATGATATGACTCTAATATCGACTCTAAGACCGTCTATCCAATTATATCTTTGTAATTTAATTATTTTCTTAAACGCCGCCATGGCCCCCATTAGCTGAACCAGTATGCTAGTATTGCATAATTAGGTTGTACCTGTCGTGACTTATCACGGACGTAATCAAATGGACCATCTCATTCACCACCTCCTTATCACCATCATAGAGATTATTAATTTTTTTTTTGCTCATCGAAAGCGTGGTGAAGGGCAACCAGATGTAGCAACTCGGACATTATTTCCACTTGCTGTAAAATGTTCGGCTCCAGTCATAGTTATTGACTTGGGATGGTCCACTTTGTCATCATAGCACTATCGAAAATAAGATGAACATTCAGTCTCTCTAACGGTATCTAGTTCACAAAGACTACTGCAACAAATGGATTCGAACACATAAATACTAGAAGAAGAAGAAACTTTCACCATCTACTAAAAACCAACTAAGCTACAACCTCGGTGGCTGTCATGTATATTATTACAGTAATCATTGATTGATCAAAATACAAGATCCGATTGAATGATAAAAAAATGTGAACATTAACGTGACGATGCTAACCAAGTAATATTTTGTTTTGACATTTATTTTTCGGATCAAAATTTTAAACATTTAAATTTTGACAAAATTTTAAAAAAAAAACAAGAAATTTTATAAGTCTTAATTTGACAGTCATTCTAAATTTTTGTCTAAAAATATTCTTTGCTACACACAGGACCATCTTACCTTTACCGTTGCTTTTCACACTTGGTTGTGCCTCGTACGCACGACGGTCTTTTCAGACACTATATCTAGATAGTAGAAAGGTTTCCTAAGTCGCAAATACTTCCTCGTTTAAAAAAAAAAAAAAAAAGTGAATGAGGAATCTTTCTAAGTCAGTGGTTGCCTTTGTTTTTCTTAGCCTTTACCCACCTAAAACAATAATACATTGATTCGACACACATAATTGTTGCATTGCAGAGAGATGAGTTTAGAAGAACAAGTTGTCATTGACATAAATATAATAGAAATTTGTCTTTTATATGTAAACTTCGCCATGAACTGAGCACTTCCCTGCACTGCAACCCCACGTGAAGAAGAACGTTAGAACGAGAAGGAATTGTGATCACGTTGTACGGTACTATGCTCTATCTATTTCTCTTTCTATAATTAATTACCTGCAAACTATGCGCATCACGTTTATGAAAAACTTTGTTAGATGTCTCAAATTTAAAGCTTCAAAATATGAACAACCGAAGTCTCATTGTTTAAGCTGTCCTGGCCGCTTGATCGCACAATTTTTTAGTATATGGTTTTCCCCCAAGGTCTTTGGCACGAACACAAACACAAACATATTAATAGCGTAGCATGTCTCATCAGAAAGCTTGATGGATTAGTTGCCATACTATTGAGATTCATTAATAATTCAACGGTTATAATTTGTTAGATATGTAACTTGAGTTAGTAAATTAAGTCCACCAATTATTCACCCTTGTAGTTGTCGCATTATTTAATAAAGCATAATTGTAACATAAAGTTTATTTGTTTTTTTTTTGTTCAATGGTTAAGAGTGTTCAAATTAGTTTATACACACCTTGATTAATTTCTTTCTTGGTCAAGTTAAAAGTAGATCATTCATTTCGTAACTAGAAAATTCATGAAGGATAAACCCGACTCTAAGGGATTGCCAAAATTTAAATTCATGACGTCTAAATTTGTACCTTGTACTTATTACCAATCAAGCTACCTTCAATATTAAAATTTATTTGTTTAAGAATGGAGGAACCTTATTATTCTTTTCATGTCCCACATGTGCTAGGTTTGACCTCAGCAACTTACCCTTTTTTTCAGACACAACCTACTCTTAACTTCTTATAATTAATTTTCTCATGCCCATTGATCTCTCTCTCTCTCTCTCTTCTCACACACATACACAAATGATATCCATTATTGATAAATGAACTTTCTTTTTATTAAGAAACCATGTCATGTCCAAAGAGGGGACTCCCTCTTAAGAGAGTCATGGATTACATTGCTAGAGGAAGCAAAATTGAGGTACTGAGGGAGGTGGTTGTGGAGGAGAAAAGATTTGTGATCTGAGTCGTCCATCTCTGGAGTTGGTAAAACTGGCTCTTGTTGCATCTGGATGCAAAGTATCTCTGCTTGAGCCACTGCAAGCTGCATTTGTAGCTGAGAAACCTGGTTCTGAAGATATGATATGGCCCCTACACATCCATAAACCGGGTCTCTCACTCGGGCATTCGCTTCGTAAACCAGGCTGCTCACAGCATCCCCTCTCCGATGAACCGGAAGCTCCTGCACGTTTAATAAAAAATAAGAACTTTATTATTAAAATTTAATTTACTATAATTTTTAAATTAACTATAGGTCCTATTAAATATTGAAACTTGATATTAATTCAATGGTTTTAATAAAATTACATCAAATTTTTTGATGCATTACTGCTTCTAAAAACATAAATTTTTAGAGAAAGTGTGCGTCAGTAATTTTTATTTCATATCACCCTCTCAAATAACAGTTAGATTTTGGACAAAATACAGACAACAATACAAGTACTGTACCCACAAGGGTGTTATATAACGAGATTCGAATTCTGTACTTCTTGTTTTTTTGACCATAAATGTGTAACGAAAATATTTTATACTTCTTCATGGTTATAGTACGAGAATTGAGAGAGAGAGAGAGAGACCTGCAACATTTTGCTAACATTGCTAGCACCGAAGACTTTGTGAACCATGGCAAACTTATGGGGGTCATCGGAGGGGAAGTAAGGAGCAAAAATGCAGTCCTTGGCGCACCGGCGACGAAGCAACTTGCAGGAAGCGCATGGAGAACTTCCACCCATTTTCTTTTCTGAGGAAATAGCAGAGAGATTCTGTAATGAAAAGGAGTAAGAAGAGAAGTAGGAAATCAAAACCACCAAGTTGCACCAGTTGTGTGCGAATGGGAGTGGCGTGGGTGTATATATAGAATGACTTAGACGTGTGAACCCAAGTGAACACTTAGACGGTTAGACCAACGCGCTTGTTAGTGTTAAATCAACTGATGTTACTATATATATAATTTAATTAATTATCATATCTCAGATGGTATAGAACTTTTGAGTGATCATTGAGTCTTTCAAAAGGCATCAAATCATTTGGCAGAAGGTCATGAAATGTAATAGAAGAAAAAAAAAAGCAGTGCTCTCTAGAGCATGTGGATGTTGGTTGCTTTCCAAATTCCAATCCCTCCACAAATAATGTCAAGTGACACATTAACAAAAAACTATCTTCTAAAATAAATATATTATGAGTTTTATAAGCTTCGAATTTATTTTTTGTCAGATGACTTGATGTGATATATATTAGAACTTGGCTACAAGAGTTCTTTGAAAAAAAACTGTTTAATTATTAATTAATTCTCCCTTGTTCGTGATACCCGTCTACTTTACTATATTACTATCATTTTTTTATTGTGTTAGAGTTTCCCTCTTATCGATTAAATAATATCTTTTAAATCGATATGTGTCTGATGAGACTTTGTTTTTTTTTTTTATTCAACGATCAAGAGTGTTTAAATTAGTTTACGCGCAATTTAACTAATCTCCTTTTCGGTTTGGACAAAAGAATATCATCCACACCGAAATTAAGGTATTTATGAAGGATATATTCCTCATGACTTGACTTTAAAAGATTGTTAAAATTTGAACTTATGACGTTTGAGTTTACGACTCGATCGAATAACTTAAAATTTTGTGTCTTTTTAATCATTGCTAATTAGTCCTGGATTGATGTTTTGGCATCCTTACATGACCATGGCCTAATTCAGAGGGGTGAGGAGTGATTGGTTGCACCTACCAAAGAGCAGGAGAAAACGTGGTTAGTCCCCCCTTAACACTAATTAAAACCAGTTTGGAGTATTATGTTAGTGAACCAATCTTGTAACCACACCATGTACTACTATATGACAAGAAAAATGGTCATAAAGTGAGACACGTAGCTCAAAAAAAATAGTTAATTAGTATTGACTGCCGTCAAAATGTGTAATTGGTTTGGAAATTTTATTAGGGTTTTAAGGCCTCCACGTTCAACTTTGACTATTCTTAAATGGTGGTCTTGTGATTTTTTTTTTTTTTTTGGTTTATGGGTTGTTCAAGTTAGCTAACGCGTATTTTGATTAATTTTTTTTTTGGTTCAGACAAAGACAGACAATCTATACTAAAACTATAGTATTTATAAGAGATAAATTTTTCATGATTTAATCTCGTAGAGTTGTCAAAATTTAAAATATAACGTCTGACAATTCATCTTTATTATCAATTGAAGTTGGAGTTTGTAAACCCCTTGGTTGAAACCTAGGCTACCTACCAAGACGACGTGAAGAGCCTCAACGTGAATGTTTATTAGACAGACATTCACGTGAGTGCACGGCTACCCGCACCATCTCTCTCTCTTGTTTATGAAACTGGCCTGTATGTATAGTTGACCTTTATAGTTGATGAAACTGGCCTTTGTTGCTTCTTTTTAATGGTCGGCAACTTCAGATTAAACAAGCTTACATAAAGATTTCCCATATCAAGTAATAAATTTTAAGCTAATGGAGAACCAGTCACATGACATATGGATAACTACTTGAAAATGTGTACAAAATTTACTTATATGTGATTATAGACTAATTATGCTTCTATATCTATATAAATGGGATATATATATACAGGTACATTCTGGTGTATTTGGGCATAAAGTCGAGACCATGCAAAAATTGGCATGCCGGTATGTGAGATCCAAATTCTCTCTAATGTATATGAGTGAAAAACCCATTTATATATGATGGGTTCTACTCAAATTCTCGGTCATCTAAAAGAGATTTAATTAATCTACATCAAGGAATAAAAAATTCTTCAACATTATTGATGCTAATCTCGTGACAGATTTAATAATAGTCATTCTGGAAATAATATATAAATAAAAGCTCAAGCTGCTCAACTAAGATTATTAATGAGGCTGACATGAAATTAAGCTCCCCCATTAATTTCTTGGTTGATGATTATGAAATCCTTAAGTTGTAGAACCCCAAGTCTTTGCATTAATTGCCTTCACATGGTTCCATGTTTCTTTTTCTTGTCTTGTCTTCTTCATTAAAACAGTTCTCCTGTCCTTGTTAGATTCGATACTGTCTTTTAAGCTCTTTTATAATTCGTTCCTCAGCAAGCCAGTAACGTTACCACGTTGAGCACCCTCATGGTTTTAATTGAATTTGATTTAAATAGTCATGGCGCTACGTTTATGTGTGTCTCTATATATATATATGTGTGAGTGTGTGAGATAGCGTAAATTAAATATACAAACAAAAAAAAGAACGACAAGATCCTAACTTGCTTATACCAAGACTCGGTAACTTTAATTAAATTAACAGCTACTTAGGAATTCTTTCTTTCCGTTTCCACCCATTATCCTAGGACTTGGATCGAGTTAGTTGATTCTAGTTTTTATGATAAATTTTGATCTCGACATAGATATAAACTTAACAGACCAAAAGGGTATCTTGATCATATTTTTCTAGTGGGATTTCTCGAATTTTTTGGTGCCTCAAACAGGTTGCTAATTACAAAAAGGGAGGCGCCCACATTAATGTTCTTTGTCATCATTTTCTGTTTCAAAATCAAAGATCTAGGGGAGAGAGAGAGAGAGAGATATGGTAAGAACCTTGTTTTTCGGTTACTGGGTATTTTTAAAATTTGAGGCATTAGATTATGAGTGAAAAACAGACATCTTTCACCACCATAGAAGGAGAAACATGAGAGCTCCAATGCGAGCATTAAATGGGCATCGTGGTTGTGAAGATTCATTTTCAAGATGCTTTGGTCTTAAATCATGACACATTGGTTATCTCACTGTTACATGGGGTTGAGTTTCCATGGAACCTTAGCCCTAGAGTTATTCTTCTTGTCTCTTTTTTAGTTCAAGTGCAAATAAGAGGGAATTGTTAATTTAGATGTCCTAAGTTTGAAATTTGACAACTCTTTAGATTGTCGACACAATTTAGTTTGTAGAATGGGCCTTTATTGATTAGACTAAACATATTCAAGCTATGGGTGTGGGCTTGACTCTTTGTCAACTGTGTGAACCCTAATTAACCATTGCACATGTTGAATGGCTGGTACGTGTGATATTCTCCAAATGAAAATAATCTTTCGGAAGGGGTTAGAGTTATTCTTGAGAGAGATAATTCCCTCGCGCGATTAATTTAACTTTTCTCTCTCTTTTTTATTTTTCTTTTTTGGTTGAAAAGCCCAGAATAATCTGCCAATCCACTGGGGGGTGTGCTTGATTTGGCGCCTAGGATCAGAACAATTTTATCCAAGGAGCTGCTTATCCTGCGTTTGGATGGTAAATTTGGATCCATGATAAGTCTGAACTCTATTTGTAGGGTCAAAGTTGGAGATACTAATCCTTCCATGGTTAGAAGTGAGAGTCCTGGGCCAAGAATATGAGCCGGGCTCGAATCACATCCAGATGACCGATGGGCTGAAGAAATGTTGGGCTACAGCCTAGTGCTAGGTCTGTGTTACTAAATCTTTATATGATACCCGGAAGATATTTGTGCTCTGAATACGACTATAAGAATATCTTCAATCTTTATCTTTTTAAAAATTTGAGTTAAAGTTAGAAATGTTCTAATGGATCTTGATGATGCATAAAAATGGTTTTGCACACCACCTGTCAAGTATAGGTAATAAATGCAGTGAAATCAATGAAAAAATTAAAGAAGACACGATTTATAGTGGTTCGGTCAATTCGACCTACGTCCACTCTTCAATGGCTTCAGTTGCCGGGTATTTTATTAATTCAGAGGTATGAAGAACAAAGATACAAGTTTTGAGAGAATGGAGAATCAAAGAAGGAGTGGTCTCCGGTCGTCGGTCTGTCCTCTGTAAGTGTTGGTGGGGCGTGACCTTCCTCTCTCCTCTCCTCACAGATTGGGGCTACTTTATAGCAGCTAAGAGATCATTTTTGTGGAGATCATGACTTATCCTCAAGGCTACTTTATCGCAGCTAAGAGATCATTCTGGTGGAGATCATGACTTATCCTCAAGGCTACTTTATCGCAGCTAAGAGGTCATTCTGGTGGAGATCATGACCTATCCTCAACGGAAGGAGGAGGTTGGAGAGCTTTTCATGAAACGTGGTCAAAGCTTGGACCGTTTCCTTCGGTAGTGCAGATAAGCTTCTCATGCTCTCCTCTTGATGACGTGCTAAGCAAAAAGTCTAATCGGTCTTGGACTGTCTTGGGCTTGGTAGATTCAAAATGAGGTTGGGCTCCTCAACTGGAGTTGGACTTTAACACATAAATTGGACTATTTGGGCTTAACCCATCATTTGCCCCCCAATGCCCCATGTCCAATGAGACTTGGAGAAGGAGACATTGACTATATTATTATTATTATTATTCTTTTTTTTTTTTAAACTTCAAGTCTTTCCCACTTTATTTTGAAGAGGACCCATAATATTCTATTTGACCTTTTTATTTTGAAAAGGACTTATAACTTTCTATTTGACCACTTTATTTTAAAGAGGACCCATAATTTTCTATTTGGGCTTTTTCCCTCTTTTTGAAAAACCATAGACTATAAATATAGTCTTCTTCTTCATGTTACCCATTTCACTTATTTTTAAGGTTGAGCATCCCACCTCTTGAAAACCTTGAAAACTCAAGTCCTACCCATTTTGTTGAAGCCAAAGTGTGTTCTCCTTGAATCCTTTCAAGAGTGTGATTTCTTCTTTGCTAGTTGAGCTTCTCAAGTAAACAATGTCGATTGAAGAGAGAGTGGTGGAGGTTGAAGAAAGGGAGGAAGTATGCACC